CCTGGATGCCGCTGCCGCCGCCGCCGTGGGACTTTCCCGGGAGCGGGCTCTGGACTACTACGGGCTGTACGACGACCGCGGGCGCCCCTACGGCTACCCGGCCGTGTGCGAGGAGGACCTGATGCCTGAAGACGACCAGCGGGCCACACGCAACCTCTTCATCGGGAACTTGGACCACAGCGTATCCGAGGTGGAGCTGCGACGAGCCTTCGAGAAGTACGGCATCATCGAGGAGGTGGTCATCAAGAGACCTGCCCGTGGCCAGGGTGGTGCCTATGCTTTCCTCAAGTTCCAAAACCTGGACATGGCCCATAGGGCTAAGGTGGCCATGTCGGGCCGGGTGATTGGCCGCAACCCCATTAAGATAGGCTATGGTAAGGCCAACCCCACCACTCGTCTCTGGGTGGGCGGCCTGGGACCTAACACATCACTGGCAGCTCTGGCCAGGGAGTTTGACCGCTTTGGGAGCATTCGGACCATTGATCACGTCAAAGGAGATAGCTTTGCTTACATCCAGTATGAGAGCTTGGACGCAGCTCAGGCTGCATGTGCTAAAATGAGAGGCTTTCCTTTGGGTGGACCAGACCGCAGACTCCGTGTGGATTTTGCCAAAGCGGAGGAGACTCGGTATCCCCAGCAGTACCAGCCCTCACCCCTCCCTGTGCACTATGAGCTTCTCACAGATGGATATACCCGGCACCGAAATTTGGATGCTGACCTGGTGCGGGACAGGACCCCCCCACACCTCCTGTACTCAGACCGAGACCGGAACTTTTTGGAAGGGGACTGGACCAGCCCCAGTAAAAGTTCTGACCGCCGAAACAGCCTGGAGGGCTACAGCCGCTCAGTGCGCAGTCGGAGTGGTGAGCGCTGGGGGGGAGACGGGGACCGTGGCATACCCAAGCCCTGGGAAGAAAGGCGAAAGCGGAGGAGCCTTTCCAGTGACCGTGGGCGGACAACCCACTCCCCTTACGAGGAACGGAGCCGGACCAAGGGTGGTGGGCAGCAGTCAGAGCGCAGCTCAGACCGCAGCCCAGAGCGCACCCGCAAGGAGAACCACTCCGGGGAAGGGACAAAGGAGTCTAGCAGCAACTCCCTCAGCAACAGCAGACATGGGGCTGAGGAGCGGGGACACCACCACCACCACCATGAGGCTCCGGACTCTTCCCACGGGAAGAAGACAAGAGACAGCGAGCGCAATCACCGGACCACTGAGGCTGAATCCAAGCCTCTTGAAGAGCCAAAACACGAGACCAAAAAGCTAAAGAATCTCTCAGAGTATGCTCAGACACTACAGCTGGGTTGGAACGGGCTCCTAGTATTGAAAAATAGCTGCTTCCCTACTTCTATGCACATCCTAGAGGGGGACCAGGGGGTTATCAGTGGTCTCCTCAAAGACCACACATCTGGGAGCAAGCTGACCCAGCTGAAGATTGCCCAGCGCCTTCGACTGGACCAACCCAAGCTCGACGAGGTCACACGACGCATCAAGCAGGGGAGCCCCAATGGCTACGCGGTCCTCCTAGCCATCCAGGCAACCCCCAGTGGTCCTGGCACTGAGGGGTTGCCTGCAGTGGAGCCAGGCCTACAGAGGCGGCTTCTCAGGAACCTGGTCTCCTACTTGAAACAGAAGCAGGCCGCTGGGGTAATCAGTCTGCCGGTGGGTGGGTCCAAGGGCAGAGACAGCACAGGCATGCTCTATGCCTTCCCTCCCTGCGACTTTTCACAGCAGTACCTCCAGTCAGCACTAAGGACATTGGGCAAGCTAGAAGAAGAACACATGGTGATAGTCATAGTCAGAGACACTGCCTAGCCCAAGCCTGTCTTTTCCAGCTCCGTGTTTGTGTCACAAAAGCAGTTATTTTAAAAATCTGATCCCCTCTCTACCACCTTGGTTTGAATTCTCTCCTGGGTTATTTTGGTTCATTTGGTGGGGATCATAGTCCTATCCACCACTAAAACTAAGTTTTTGGATCTTGGGGGATTATTATTATTTTTTTTTACAATGATGAAAAGGGACTCTTGTTACGTTGATTTCTAGTGTACAAGATACTGTCTGCTGTGCTCTGTATTTTTTTATTTTTTGACTAACTGTATGGAAAGTTGTCAGTAAAGCCTTTGTCAGAGGATGGATTTTTTTAATCCTGTTCAGAGTCCTGGTTTAATCAAGTTAAGAATGGAAGACTTTTCTCTAGTGCATGCACACAAATGCCCTATGTCATCTTTCCGGCACCATGTCCAGCACTACCATGCTCAAATGTCCTGCTGCCCCTCTGTTCTTCTGAATCAGGACTATGTTCACATTCATTTTTAATCTTGGCTGATAACAGACAAACTTCAGTTTGGGCTCTGGACCCCACCGCACCAGCCTAAGTAGAGCCTGCGCACAGGAAGGGGATGAGTCTAAGGTCTGTGCCAACCTACTGATGGTTTTGTTTTTGTTCTAAACAATGTGTCTATCAGTTTGAGCTGTGGCTGTTGGACAAAATGCCCAATCTCAAAGCCTGTTGACAGCACGTACCCTTCAGCAGTTTGCATACTCTTACACACAGAGGAGCAGTGCCCCCTATCTTTCCGGGCTCCTCCTTCAGCCTCCCTTCTCGTATTCAGCCCAGGAATATCAAGTGTTGGAGACAGAGCTGCCTTAGACTTCCGGGTTGGAAATGGAGGGTTGGGGGTGGCTTTTCTTGATTTACTGTCAAGCTTTAACTGGATGTTTGTGATTTCTGGCTCTCCCTTTGGTCATTCGAGCCAATGAGTAAGAGTAGGCCTGTGCCCAGTCATACCTACAGCTTTGTGGGGGAGACCCTGAACTGTTGGGGATTTTTACAAAGCTGCAGGGGACTGATGGGTTAGGGGATGCCCTGGATAACTGATTTTCTTGGCACAAGCTCAAAGCATGTGCATAGACCTTGTGCCCTGATACTGAGGAGGTGGGGACAATTGGGAAATATTTATCTGGGGAAGTCAGTCACTGAGGAGTTGGGCAGTGATCTAGCTTGGAACCACTCAAGCCAAGCTGGGGAGGAAAAGGATAGGACGGCACCCTCTAGCTTGAAAGAAGGGTGACCTGAAAAAGTCTGTTTTTTTGAGTTGGAGTCTCACTCTGCCTCCCCGGCTGGAGTGCAGTGGGCACACTCACAGCCACCACAGCCTTAACCTGCTGGACTCAGGTGACCCTTCCATCTCAGCCTTCCAAGTAGTAGAACTACAGGTGCATGTCACCACACCCTGCTAATTTTTATTTATTGTAGAGACGAGGTCTTGCCAAGTTGCACAGGTTGGTTTCAAACCCCTACCTTCAGGCAATCCTCCCCTCCGCCTCCCAAAGTGCTGGGTTTACAGGCAAGAGCCACCGCGTCTGGCCTCTGAAGGAGTCTTCACTTGTCTCTCCTAAGGTAGTATGGCCAGTGCCGCAGACTAGAGTCCAGTAGTGTCAGGAGCCAGGGAGGAAAGCCAGATCACACAGTAATGCCACTATCGAACACAACCCAAATGTTCTTCAGAATGTGTGGCAGCGTGGATGGTCCAAAAGGGATTATTGTCAAGCCTGAGGAGAATGGAGGCTCTTGTAGGAGAAATGAGCCCGCAACCAACCAGGAACTCGAGGTTCTGCTGGCCATGTCCTCTCTCCAGTTCTGGTCCACCATCCCAGTTGGCACAAGGGAATAGCTGGAAGTTGAGGGAGGCTTTGTGTAGTGGAGGCTGGGACTCACTGCAGGCTGCATGGAGAGTGCCTCCGGGTCCACAAGGACACAGAGCTCTTAGAGACCGCTGAGATTTGGAATGAATGGGGAAGTACCTGTCACAGGGCTTCAGCTGGTGGTATTCGTGAGAAAACAAGCATGTCAATAACAAAAACACTAACACAAAGGAAGTGTTAAACATTTTTATTTGCCTGATTTTACTTGGGCTGTGGCACAGCTGTCAAGTATCTAATCAAGTCAGTCTGGAGCACAGCAAACACACCTGAACCAATCCGGGGTAGCTGGTACTGCCAGAAACATGAGTGGGTCTCCTCTTGTTGAAGGCACACTGCAGGGTTTTTCCCGCAAATGTTCAACAAGTGCCTGAGTCACAGGCCAGAGACTGTTTGGCATATAAGTCCAAAGCCTTTGAACTCCTTCATGGAATAAGTGCTCAGGATCCAGAAGAATACACCTCCCAGCTTTCTGAGACAACCAAGTAAAAAGAAACATGCTAGAAAACCTGGGTGAGGACACCTCAGCCTTTACCTTGTCCGCCCCTCTTCAGGGGCCCTCTGGCCCCAGAAAGAACCACCAAGTTTTGGTGAAAAGCCACACCCTAAAGTGAGCTTCCTTCTTCCTTCTCTTCCCTGGACCTCAACCACTTCCTTCCTTTGGCTCTTAAGACATAGCCGGTTCAGTGGCCTCTCAGAAAGGGCTTGGCCAGCACTAGTAAGGGTAGGTCAGATGGTCAAGGCCCTGGTTGTTTTAGGAGACTGCACCAGTGAAAAACCATTTAACTGCAAGTATCCAGTGCCTCCACCTGAGGTTCAGGGCCTAAAGTGTTGCTTAAAGATACAAAGCACAAAAAGGCAAAGTTTGCCTCACTGGTGGTGTGCTAGTCTATATGTTTCCTCCTAAGTAACTCAGATTTTGAGTCCTAAGGAAGGCTGATGTTTCCTTAGCCTCTTAGGACATGTTCCTAAGTGTGTGTTGTCAGGTCAACCAGAATTCTGTTTTCCTATTAGAGGTCCCCATCTCCACCTTAGAGACTTGGCACTCCCAAGAGCTGACAGAGTTCAAGGAGTCTGGTTCAACTGAGTTAATGACTAGAATATAGTGCTTTTACCACTTCTTGATTGTTAACTTGTTTTCTTCTAACACCTTCAGCACCAGCAGACTATTCCACTGGTTAGATGTTAGCTATGATTTAAGCCAAGGCATGAAGCAAATTAAGAGCTGAGACCTCTACTCTCCAGAGGACCAAGAGGTACCTTTGTGACACAGGCCCACTTTAGTGTGTGTGGCTGATTGTACAGTGCTCCTGAGCCCAGCAGGGCTTTACCTCCCCCCTGGAGAGTTAGCCTTCTTGCGTTGCTTGTTTATTTCACAACAACCACATCTGTTCCCTCTTCTCTCAGTAAAGGGAGAAAAGTCTCCAGCTGGATCATACTTATGTAACAAACCAAGGAGCTGTTATTTGGGCAAATCAAAGGAAGAAAGAGACTAGGGTCTTCTATTTATTGTGAGAAAGAAAAGGGGGTGGAGTAAGTGAAAAGGTAGGCGCCCCTGGTACTTTTCCATTAGGTCAATTTTAGAGGCCTCTCTAGTGTCTCTGCAAACCCAGACCAAGCCCACTGCCCCTAACCTGCCAGCACAGGTGAATTGCTCAAGTCCACAGTCACAATCCCTTTCGGTAAACAGTAATGGCCATCCCCCCAACTACAAGGATGGCCAAAATGCTTTCATTTCTTTGCTTTGCTAGCTCATTCCTCCACAGCTTCCAAAGACGCCTACCTTTCCAGTTCCACCAAATCTGTATTTGGGAGCAGACTTCTTTATCCAGAACATGGGGATGGAGAGATGTGTCCACAGGGGACAATGCCCTGAGCTCCTCTCTCTACCCCCCACATGATCACAGCTTACAAAGAGAGGCTCCTGAGGGAGCTGCAGACCAGAGTTAGACACTGACTAAGCCACTTTTCTCCCTGGAGTGTTTTATTTGGGCAGAACATGTTCTCACCACTGTCCTGGTCTGCCTCTCTATGGCCTGGCTAGAGCTGCAAGAAAGGGACACACCCCACTGGTAAAAGAGAACAGGGAAAGGCCATAAACAAAGACAGACTTGTAGTTTATTTTGTTTTTGTTTTTTTTTTAAATAAATACACTTTACATTAAAGAAAAAGGCCTTTGATTTGTAATTTCCACATTGGGGAGAAAGGGAAGAAAAAAAGATTTTTGAAAAACTGAATCACAAAGAAAAATAGAGGGAGTGAACTTATATCCCAAGTTCCCTCAACTCCATAAAACCAATATCCACAATAACCATGCTGCCCCCAAGCCATGAAGGTAGGTGAAGATAGGCATTTACTCGGCAAACAAGCAGTGCCTTCCCACTTCTGGCATGAAGGAAAACAAGTTAACTTGACAGTGTATGAGGCAACAAAACACATTAGAAAATCATATATTATATTTATAATAAAATATTATTAATCCTTATCAATTTAAGAAACCACGATTTTCCTTTTCATTTAAATATGTATGTAAAAATGCCTCTATATTGTTTTTTAGACATCATTTTCTTCCAAAGAAAATGAAATGCAGGGACAAGAGACCTGGTGGATATAAGTTCATACCCTCAGTTATAAATGCCTGTTATTTTTTTTTTTTTTTAAGTTTTATAAAAAACTATTTCTTGTTCTTTAAGTAAAGAACATTATACAAAGAAAATATATTGTGAAATAACCCCAGAGGCATGTTTTTTTCCCTTGAAGAAAGATATGTCCATCCTAGGAGAAAGGGGGGAAGCAGAATAGGGCCTAATCCCTGTGTCTTTTTTGTGGTTGTTATTCTTTTGGGAAGGACCCTCAGATTCCAGTAAGACTGCCTAAACCATAATCCTCTGAATGCAGGGCATGCAGTTCCTTAAAAGACAAACAGCCCTGGGAGAAAGGGAAGGGAAAATGTTCTGAATTCATTTGACTCAGTTTCTCGCCTGCCAAGAATCTCCTGCAAGTGGTGATGGCTCCTCACTCATTCAGAGATAAGATGATGTCATCTTCCAAATCAGAGTTGTCAGAGCTGTCAGCTGCAAGGGAAGAAAAGGGAAGACTAGATTATGCACTACGCTTATAGGAAGCTCTCAGGAAGGAAGCACCTGCATTCACATATATTTATGCCTGAGCATGGTTAACTACTAATTTCCAGAAAGAAGAAAACACATCAATTAACTCCTTGGAGCTGGCTCTGGAGAATAGGACTGTTGGCTGGCAGATGTATTCTCCCTGGGACCTCTTGTTCTCTTAACTTTCAAGGGGCCTGTACATGGTGCCCTCTGCTTTCTGCCTGGGAGGCCCTAATGGGATCAGGTGAGTGTCCTCTGAAGCTTCCATCTATGGCACTTTGAATGGTGCAAAGGGGCAGGGCTGAGGGGAGCAATGAGTGAGCCTTCCTGGCACTTGGCCTCTGAAGTCTGTCAAGAATAGGCACAGGCCTGCCTGACCCCAAGAGACCACTAAAAAGGTAGGCAGAATTCAAGCTAAAGTGAGAGATTTGGCTTTTCCTAATCTCCTTAGTTACTCCCTTCAATCCTCAGAAGACTGCACAAAGGCAGAGACAGTCAACTTAGATTCACTCCTCTGTACAATCTGCAGGGAGCAAATTCCCAAAAAGGTAGGCCAGCATGTAGCAATACCAGAAAAGGAGCTATCTACCTAGAAGGGAGACAGAAGGACAGTGGGGAACAGCTATGATGCCCCAGAAGGTGGCACTACCTCTAATGAAGAGCCTCTGCTCAACCATTCATGCACTGCCAACAACCTTCTCTGGCAATGCACAGACAAATTAACACTCCTGGAAGGATCCATTAAGGAGTGAAACTAGATGGTAGCAAAAAGAACCCTCAAAAATGAGGTAGATACACGTCTAGCTGACCAAAATCAGATAGAAATATGGTGCTTATAAGGACTCTAGTATTTGCTAAGAAAAGAAAAAAGAAAGACCTTAGTGTCCAATTTGGTCACTCATAGCTCAGGAAGCTGTGTCACAATTTTAACAAGGTCCCCAGGAAAGTGGGCAGACAGATCCTGAGCTGCACCTGGAAATGCCCATTGGCTCTGGAGTGCCTATGTGGAGAGGGGTGGCCGCTAGTTCCAAAGGATCCCTCATCAGCCTTTCCCAGCACCTAAGAGAATCCACTCATGGACAAGCAGAACAATTCAAGTTCCCAAACCTTCCTTCTTTCACAATCTCCAATCACAATCTCCTTAAGGAAGAAAACTGAAATGGACAAAGGAATACCAAAAAAAGTATGATAATGATACAAGAAAGTCTTGAGCAAAAGAGAAGGCTGGAAAAAAGTGTTCCTGGGTCTAAGTGGGCACAAGCATGGCCTGACACCATTGGTGAAACTGGGGAAAACAAGATGGAGAGAAAGAAATAATACCTGACATACCTGAACAAACCAAGCCTCATTAGCTTCTCTGCTGCAAGTGCTCCAATAGGAACTGTCATAGGAAGGGGTAGGGCCTCCTCCCCAGAGCCAAGCCCAGCACTGTTACAGGCCCACATGTCAGACTTGCCTGGTACTCATGGCAGCCCTCCAAAGAACCCCCCCAGTGCTCATCAATTCTGTGAGCCAACAATACCAGGCCACCTGCCGAAGAACTGTCTGACCAGCAGCTATACAGCTATTAAGACCAAAGAGTCTTAAAAACTCTGTATCACATCTAAGCACTGTAAATGCTGCTTAATGAGGATCACAGCACAATCTTCTTTAAACAAATAACTGTCAGGATCAGGGTTTAAGAACCTTCAGGGCTCGGCACCAACTCCCCCAACCTGGTGGTGAGGTGGCAGCTTCCTCTATTTTCCCTAGCATTTTCCTATTCTCCATATATTGAAGTGACCTCCCATTCTGAAAGGTTGCAAAGGCAAAGGCAATCTAGATATAATCAATTCCTACAGTGTTTAACCCATTACTCTACCTATAACGTACAGGTTTCTGGGGCAGAGCTGACAAGCAGAGAAATACAAAGACCTTGGAGGCAAGGTGTTTCTCCTCCTAGGGCTAGGGTTGCTTCTGAAGGATCCAGGGCCCATGTAAAGGTATGTGGGGACACATGGGTATGGTTTTCTATAGTTTCTATAGCTTTCATCATATCCTAAAAGGCGTATATGCTCAAAAAGGTTCAGAGCTACTTCTCTAAGGGATTAGTGTGAGGCAAAACACTTGACAAATCCAAAGGTGCTGAGAATGCTCACTCTATCTGCTCTATTGAGAGCAGCTGTTGATTGCCTATAAAATACAGAGAAAGAGCAATGGAGTGCACACTGCAGATACCACCTCTGTATCTCCACCTCGATTCTGGAGTCGACTCCGGCAGTGTCCTCAGGTTGTCATCATTATTTTTGCATCATAAATATTCTCACCCAACTTAAAGTAACAACATTATCATAACTGATAGAACTAAAGATTTTTAGATTATGTTTAGCTTGAGAGAAGGAAACTTCCTAAACAGCTAAAGGAAGCAGTAATTTTACAGGCCAAATACAAATTGAGTGGTTTTATACTCAAATTAAGAATAGAAAAATGAGCCGGGCTCAGTGGCTCAGCCTGTAATCCCGTATCTTTGGGAGGCTGAGGTGAGTGGATTGCCTGAGCCCGCGGGTTCGAGACCCGCCTGGGCAGGCGAGACCTCATCCCTACAATAAAATCAAAAAATTAGCCGGGCGTGGTAGCACGCGCCTGTAGTTCCAGCTACTTGGAAGGCTGAGGCGGAAGGATCGCTGGAGCCCAGCAGGTCAAAGCTGTGGTGGCTGGGAGTGGCCACTGCACTCCAGTCTGAGCGACAGTGAGACTCCAACTCAAAAAAAAATAGAAAAATGCTGGGTGCAGTGGTTCACACCTATAATCCCAGCAGTTTGGGAGGTGGAGGTGAGAGGATTGCCTGAGTCCATGGGTTTGAGACCAACCTGGGTAACATGGTGAGACCTTGTCTCTACAATAAATCAAAAAATTAGCCGGGTGTGGTGGCACATGCCTGTATTTCCAGCTATTTGGAAGGCTGAGGCAGAAGGATCACCTGAACCAGCAGCTCGAGGCTGCGGTGGCCATGTGTGTGCCACTGCACTCCAGCCTGGGCGTCAGAGTAAGACTCCAACTTTAAAAAAAAAAAGAATAGAAAAATTAGGCCAGGCACATGGCTCACACCTGTAATCCCAACATACTTTGGGAGGCCAAGGAAGGAAAACTGCTTAAGGTCAAGAGTTCAAGACCAGCCTAGGCAACATAGCAAGACCCTGTCTACAAAAATAATTTTTTAAAATTAGCCAGGCATAGTGGCACATGCCTACAGTCCCATCTACTCAGGAGGCTAAAGCAAAAGGATCACCTGAGCCCAGGAGTTTGAGGGTGCGGTGAGCTATGATTATATCACTGTACTACAGCCTGGGCAACAGAGCAAGACCCTGTATCAAAAAAAAAAAAAAAAAATATTAAAGTGATACTATCTTATGTGGGAGGCACTAACACCAGCTGGCCTGCTGTTTGCTGACCCTCCTAACCTGCCTTACTATTTGTAATTGAAGGGAAATAAAACTTGTTTCCCACATCTCACTAGTCACATATGACAAAAAGTTTCATTAAAACTTACCCTGTGTCCCTCTTACCTGGCTCTCTGACCAAGGCTTGGGATTACTGCATTGAATAACCTCATCCTCCAAGTATGGAAAAATGGAAGCTGATAAACAGCAGATAGGAAGGCAGTTCTCTATCTTCCCATCCCAAGTTTCCTTAGAATACAGCTTTGGTAAGAGGACTTATGTACATCTGCAGAGCTAGCAGACTTCCAACTAATAGCTGGTTTATTCAGGATTCAGTACCACAGTCAGGGGACAACTTGACGTCAGAAATCTGTCCTAATGGGAAATTACTAGAAAAAACTAGAGCTTGTTTTTCAAAATTTAGAATAAAAAAGAAAGGCAAACAGACATGAATAAACAGAAGCCAAAGAGAAACATTTGGCCCCTGGTTTTTTGGTGGGATTAGCCAAAAGCAGACAGTAAAGGGCTACTCCATAGAGGGCCTTCATTTCTTCATAACTTCACCCCAAAAAGAATAATATCCCATGAGGAGCCTCTTTTTACTGATTCCAGCTCTGCCCCTCAGAGAGCTACCCTTTGATCTTTCAATCTAAGGCTCTCTCTCCAAAGCAGGAGTTGACAAACTACAAGCCCACCACCTATTTTTGCAAGTAAAAGTTTTATTAGAACACAGCCACAAGCATTCATTTATGTATTGTCTGACTGCTTTCTCACTACAACAGCAGAGTTGAATAGCTGCAACAGAGACTACATGGCCCACAAAACATAAAATATTTACTCTCAGGACTTACAGAATAAGTTTGCCAACCTCTACTTGAAAGATAAGAGATGACAGCCATTTGGTTTGGTTACACAGATGATGGGAGAGCAGGGGATCAGAGATGTGAAAGTACCTTTTCCTCAAGGCAAAAGAGTGGTGAATCCAGTCATAGGGCACAGAACCTTGGTATGGTGTGTTGTCTGGGCTGCACTGGTAAAAGAGAGGGGACCTTGCCCTGGGTGCCAAAGCTCGGCCTGAACTCTGCCCTATACTTACTGTCCCCCAGGATCAGTTCCACTTCCTCGTCTGCATCAGAATCTTCATCCTCCCCGTCCTCTCCCTCCTCTAGAAGGTTTGCTAGCTCCTCATCAGAAGGAGAGAAGTCATTGTCCCCATCCTCCCCTGCGTTCTCATTGTTGTCGTCCTCCTCCAACTCCGCCTCTAGCAACTGGTCAGTGTCAAGCTCATCTAAATCATCAGTATCATCATCATCTTCATCATCATCTTCTTCCTCTTGTTCTTCTTCTTCCTGGTAAGAAAGCATGAGTTTCATCAGGACAGACACTGAAACCCGATCCATGTGGGCCACATGCTGAGTTTTGCCCAAAGGGACAGGAGAGGAAACTGAGTAGAGAGAGGGTGGTAATACAGATTAGCAAATGTTTTGGGCCAGTCAACTTGTCAACAACGGCTGAGACAAGTACACACATACCCCCCCAAGACACTCAAAGCACCCCTTAATCAAGGATTACTGGTCACTCTACAAAGGCATTATTGGTCCCACAGGCCTTATCCAACGAAAGAGACAGCTAACTTGACAGAGTCTCTACCATCAATATTTCTAGGAGCCCAAGGGGTCTCTTCTTTTTCACCTGCATCAACTAAAGCAAGCAAAATCAGCTGAGACACTGGAACAAAAGTTTTTACCTGGAACCTAAAAAGCAATCCTTTAACAAAATCGAGGAAGAAGACAGCAGCTAAATCATCAGCTCCTAAGTCCTTCAGGCTCTTGTTCTTGATCTTCTAACCAACAATGTAGATAACCCCCAAAACTTACCATACAGAACACTAACAGATATTCATATTTCCTGTTACAATTTCCCCTACAAAAAAAGTATGTTAGATAAACTGTCTATCCTTTTATTCTTTTTTTTTTTTTTTTAGCTGGAGTCTCACTCCATTGCCCAGGCTGGAGTACAGTGGCACACTCAATGTCTACCGCAGCCTCGACCTGCTTGGCTCAGGCAACCCTTCCGCCTCAGCCTTCCAAGTAACTGGAACTACAGGTGCATGCTATCATGCCCAGCGAATTTTTTGATTTATTGTCAAGGCCTCACCATGTTGCCCAGGTTGGTCTCGAAACCACAGGCTCAGGTAATCCTCTCGCCTGGCCTTCTAAGGTGCTGGGGATTACAGGCTTCAGCCACCATGCCTGGCCTATCCTTTCATTCTTAAGAGAACTTCCCAAAAGAATTTTCTGGTTTCCCAGAAAAACCAATGAAATACTTTGCTCTGGATACCATGGGCTTTGTAAATGGTACATTCTGGCATTTGCCACAGTTTTCAGCTTTACATTAGCATTCCAATAGTTCTGCTTCAAGAGGGAGAGGACACAAAGATACCTCTTTACTTTGTTAAGAATGACAGACATTCCCAAGTAAACATAATCAACACTTAGACATTTATCTTTCTACTCAAATATCTACTGTCAGCCTTGCCAACAGCAAAGACTTCTAATTCCTGCAACGATAAAATATAAAATTTAGAACATTAACTTAAAGTCAAGATAAAACAAAACCAACAAAAGCAAAAATAATCTCTTTTTTCATTTTAAAGGTGTTACTTCCTGCCAGTCACTTAAAAAACAAGCATTTTGTGCTTACCCAGTCACTAGTATGCACCAACTATAATACAAACTAGGCTTATTCAGCAGAGTAGCTCTGCTTTATGAACTTCTGATTATATTGGAACTACCACTAGTGCCTTTTTGGTATGCTGTTTGACGCAGTGATTTAGAATTTTCAAAATTTCTGGTAGCTACACCGAAAAAACTGATCCCCTTTAAATACCCAGTAATCTTAATAATTGTGCAAGTGTGTGTGGTCTGTACCAAAATTTGCAGGGGCACATCTGTGTGTGTGTGAACACACAGGCAATTTATTCCACAGCAACACATCACCTCCAGAGACATACAGAGATGAACAGCCCTAAGCATTCACCCAATGGAAAGGAGCTGAGAGTACCTGGAGACAGCTCATAACCCATACAAGCACATCAGCTCATACAAATAATGGGGGGGGGGGGGGTGTCAAAATTCAGAGAAAATAATCCAAGTGCTTACCAGATTACAACGTTTGTCTTTTTTTCCCAGGCATATTTTCATGAACTTGACCAAAATTAGCTAATCCATTAACAAGGTACCACAGTTAAAAGTAAGTACAGTGAAGAAGAGAGTATCCAGGACCCTGTGTCTCTTAAGCCTTCAAGGAACAGAACACTCATACTTAAAATTTAAAATGGCAAAACTTAGAAAGGTCCACAGTTGAGTGGGAATGTAAAAGTTAAGGCAAACTGTTCAACTAGACATGGGCTGGCCAGCAAATTCAGGAAGACAGTTCTCTTTCATTTCTAATAGCATCAAAGTTTTAGCTGAGCCAGAACTGAGCTAAAAGATTTCAAATTAAGAGCAATCTTGGAAAACAGGCCAAGCAGAGTCTAAGCTCTGAACTACAGACACCATCCCAAATTCTTCAGGAGGCTACAAACCTAACCTCTACTGAATTTTGCGGCAGAAAAAAACAGGCATTTTTTTTTATCCCAGAAGACCATGAAGACATCATATGTGGTCATGGTAGAGGAAGGGAAATGAATAGGAAGAAGAAATCTACCTGAATGTCAAGTGGAGCACATCACTTCATGGTCTATAATTTTTATTCAACAACCAATGCCGATTTCATGTGTATCTATCTCATCACACGTGGAACTGGCCATAAACTCACTTTCTACATTTTAAATCTGAAACTAGAATCATGAAGCAGAGGTTCACCAAAAACCATCCAAAATGCTGTGGCAGAATTTAATTCTATGGGTTGAACCAAAAAAAGATTCTAGGAAACAATTTTAAGAGCATTTCCTGCTGGTCAAGTACGTGCTTGGTAGCATAAGCTCCTCTCCTTCATGGAATAAAGCTTCTAATAATGAGTGGTCCAAAAGTAAAAATAATTATTTAATGAAAAAAAGCAAATCTTGTTAGACTCTTGACTCAACTCCAGCAACATTTAGATAATATTTTGGATCCAGGAATATCATTTTGTTTTTTTCAGGTATGTAAGACTTCTTGTAGGGTTTGGAAACAGAATTAGAGGAATTCAGGGCCAGGTCACTTAAAAGTGAGCTACTAATAAATTTTCCTACAGCAAGAATTCCAAAACTATTCTCTTCTCAATTTCACCTTAAGTTAATTTCATGGTTACCCAAAGCCCCAAAACCCTGCAAATAACCAACCCACCCCCCCCTTCCTGTACAGAGAACAGGTCAACTGGCATGAGCTCCCTCTGCTTCTCTCTGGTGCCCTGTCCACATCTAAACTTGCCTTTAACCATGGTCTGAGGAGAAAGCAAGCCTTCTACTCCTGCTATGGACCTCATACCCTGAGACCCTGTTACCACAGATGCTTTTCTCATCCCCACCCCAAACCACACTCAGACTTATCTCTAATGGTTTCTCACCTTCTATGCCAAGGGGTTCAGCTGCCCCAAACCTAATAACTTTTCAGTCTACAAAGGCTTCAAATTTCTTCTACCTTATAGACTTCCTGAAAAGAGTCCCCAGTGCCTCCTCTTACCTGTTCTCAATGCATCAACTACTGCACTACCACTCCTTCTGCCAGCTTCCAGTCTCTCCAACTCTCTGTGGTCTTATCCCTTCCCAGATCAAAACCTCCTAGGGCTCTGTAACACTGCCCACATTATAGAATTGCAACAGAAACAATGACCAATTACTGACCGTCTATCAAATGCTAACTTTTCTGAATCTCAATCTCTTGTTAAATGAGGTGGTTTGGTTAAATCAGTGATTCTTACTCAGATGTAACTGTCAGAATCACCTGGGAAAACTCTGTCCAAAATACACACACCCAAACCCCACCCAGGGTCCAGGATGACAGAATCAATCTTTCCGATAAAGCTCATGCAGGTGGATTTGGGAGATTCCCCAGGAATTATGAAATGCACTCATAATTAAGTACCACTGCACAAGATGCAGTTAAAGTACCCTCCAGTTCTGAAGTTCTGCTATTCTGTAGTAACACACCCTGTCCCCAAACTTTCAATTACAGAACCAAAAAGATGAATCCAGATATTCTCACTAATATTCTCAGCACGTCAAACTATCTTATTCTTCAAGACTTACACAAAATTTGCTTTTTTTCATTAATTCTGCTTTGTTTCTAGACCATTCAAAATGATTTAATATAGTTCTATTTTTCAAGAGAAATAGCATTTAGCCTCTATTTCTTTCAAAAGTATAGCCAAACCTTTAGAAAATGAAACTTCTGGTCATTTGTTAAGAACACTTAATCTAAAAACTAGCATAGCTTTAAAAAATGTAATTCAAACCTGATCCTACTGCCGTGACTCTTTAACATGTCATATTTTGCTAAATTTAAACACCTACTTTTTTTTAAACACTTGTTCTTAATATTAACTATTCTTAAAAGCTATAGGTTCGCCAGGCATAGTTGCTCACGCCTGTAATCCCAGCATTCTGGGAGGCAGAGGCGAGAGGATTGCCTGAGCTCAGGCGTTTGAGAGCCGTCTGAACAACATGGCAAGACCTCGTCTCTACAATAAATCAAAAAATTAGCCAGGCTTGGTGGCTCATGGTTGTGGTGGCAGCTCCCTGGAAGGCTGAGGTGGAAGTATCACCTGAGCTCAGCAGGTACACAGTGGCCGTAAGCGTGCCACTGTACTCCAGCCTGGGCGACAGAGTAAGACCCCAACTTTAAAAAAAAAAAAGCTATAGGTTCATTTTAATGTCATAAATGCTTATGTTTTTCTCTCCTGACTGGCAAAATCTAACTCAAGTGCATTTTAATTTTTTAGGGAAAAGAAAAGAGCCTTTCAGGAATTATCACATTCTACTCTGATTAGGTGTGTGCAGTAAGTATGTAATCAGTAAATACTCTTACCATCCACTTCCTGGTAGTCAAGAACACACAGGAAGCACAGTATACACAGTGTGTCCCAGATTTCAAAAAGGAGTGAAAAAAAGCATTATTCCCTTGTTGAGTTTTTCCATTATGAATTTAAGGTTAACTATAATTAGCTGAAATGTATTAGAGCTTTTCAAAATCTAGGAATAATAATCAGTTACTAATCTTTGGCTTTATAATTTTCCTAAAAGCCAATATCAAAGATGAATGAATCGATATTTTAAAACACAGAATCAAACTTCTAACGGATCATATGAACTTTGATAGGTGACGGGTGTTTCTGCTTTCATCAAATACCTGAAGGCAGGCTGACTACC